GAAAGAAAGAAAGAAAGAAAGAAAGAAAGAAAGAAAGAAAGAGAAAGAAAGAGAGAAAAGAAAGCAAGCAAGCAGGGAGGGAGGGAGGAAGGAAGGAAAGAAAGAGAGAGAAAGAGAGAGAGAGAGAGAGAGAAGAAGAAGAAGAAGAAGAAGAAGAAAGAAAGGAAGAAAAGGTAAAACTCAACAAAAAGCTTTTGTATCTAAAACTATTCTTTTGATTCTTTCTCAAATTAGAGAAAGAATTATTGTATTTACCTTTTACTTTTCAACAGTACGAAGGGTTGGCCCAAGCCCCTGTAGTCTATCAGTAGGCAACATCCCTGGACTATCTTTTACATTTTAATAGATCTCCAAAGACTCTGAGAAGGCAAGGAAAGTAACTGTTATATTTGTTGGATTTTATTTTTATTTTACATATATGGATGCTGTGTCTGTGTGTGCACATGGGTGCTTGGTACCCATGGAGACGAAGGTGTCAGATCCCTTGGGGATGGAGTTTCTCAGGAGCGGCCAGCGCTGGGAATTGGATCCAGGTTCTCTGCAGTAGGAGCAATGTTCTCAACCGCTAAACCATCTCTCCAGCCTGTACTTTTGAGAAAGGTTCTCATTATGTGGCCCTAGCTGGCCTGAAATTTGCTATGCAGACCGGGTCAGCCTTGCACTCAGAGATCTGCCTGCCTCTGCCTCCTTAGCAACGGGATTAGAAGTGCGCACTGCCACACTTGGCCACCAGTTCTATTTACTTATGTTTGTTTGTTGTTGTTTATTTCATCTATTTTTCTTATGTATGAGTTCTATGCTGCATGTACACCCGCATGCCAGAAGAGGGCATCAGATCCCCTTACAGATGTTTGTGAGCCACCATGTCGGTGCTGGGAATTGAACTCATGACCTCTGGAAGAGCAGCCATTGCTTTTAACCACTGACCCAGGCCAGCAGTTTAATTTTTTTTTAAATAATCAGTATATATTATAAAAAATGACTAATAAGTGACAAATACCAGAAAGGCTTTACCATTGGACAAGTTTATAGATGACACGTGGAATCTCTTTGATCTTTCTCTTCATTTCTTACTGGTAACATAGATCCAATCTCACAAGACCCTTACCATTAGGGGTTACATTCTAAGATCCCTAGAAAACAACCGTGGACTCACTGAAACCTGCATACACATGTTCCCAAGCACATACCTGTGATAAAACTCAATTTATAAAACACAGAGAATAACAATACAAAACAATCACAAAGTCCCAAAAAAGGAGTTACACAAATGTGGTCTCAGCACTTCCCGTAGTGGCTTCTTGTCTCTGTTTCAGTTACCAGATACTCTCTCCTTGGGTTCAAGAATATGCTACCTGAATACAAGAACAGAGATGCCCACTCTGATAGCCCACAGATCTGATAACCAAAACACAGCTGGATAGTGGCAAACAGCCTGGACACTCTGGGGAAAGATTTACCACAACACCAGCTTCACCTCAATCCTTTATTCAGAACACACAGATTTTAAAATGGACCAATTCCCATTTAGTATTCTCAGAGAAGTTTGACTTTGGGTAACTGATCTACAGAAGACCAAGCCTTGGGAATGAGGGGATTAGTGTTGTTAGATACATGCAACTTGGGAGCACAGAAATGTGCCCGGTAGCTCTTCTCTGTGGCCTTATGTGGAAAAAAAAAACCCCAAAAACAAAAAAACAAAAAAACCATAATTATCCTCACAAGAAATGCTCTCAAAGAGCTGAGCAGTTGAGTCAAGCTTCAGCATAGACCAGGCCTGTACTGCAGCTGCAACACAGTGAAGCTTCTGGAGTACAAACAGATTCATCAAATCTGACTAGCACAATTTCAAAAGGTTGGTGGCAGGAAATGTGGACAAGCGCTCTGGGAAACAGATACAGGCGTTTTTTGATTCTGCATTTAGATACTGGAGCAATTTGGCAAAAGATCATCAATATTTAAAATCGGCATCTAGCATACCCCACAAGTGTGATATGCAACTTTTTCTTTTAAGATTTAGTTGGTTTTAGTGTGTGTGTGTGTTTGGCCTGCATGGGTGTATGTGAACCACATGCATGCCGAATGCCTTCAGAGGTCAGAGGGGCCATCAAATGCCCTGCAACTGGAGTTAAGGATGGTTTGTGAGCCATCACTACAATGGTACTTGGAGCTGAACCAAGGTCCTCTGGAAAAGAAACAAATGCTCCTAACTAGGGAGCCATTTCTCCAGCCCTCTGGACACATAACCTCTCAGCTGCCCATTCTACTCCAGAAGTACAGCCTCCACAAACACTCTCAAGGATCCAGGTGTGAGGTGCAGACATTTAATCCCAGCACTTGGGAGGCAGAGGCAAGCAGACCTCTGAGTTTAATGGGTCATCCTGGTGTACATAGCAAGTTTCAGGGCAATATAGTGAAACCCCGTCTCAATGAAAGTAAAGTAAATGTCAATGAAGTCTACACACAAATGTACAGTGCAATAATGTTCAAATAGAAAAAAAAAATCATCTGAGCTAGTGTAAGTCAAGGTGTCATGCAGGAGGAAATATATACATTGCCATATATCCAGATCCTTAAAGGGTCTATAGCCTTTAAAAATGGATGTCCAAGTTGTAGAAATACATAGAAAAAAATTTAAACCTAACAATTAATGAAAGGTAGTCATTGCAGAGCAATGTGAACTACATTTTGTTTATTTGAAAAACTAGTGAGAAAAAAAGTGTAAATTCACTAGGCCAGGTTTAGATCCCTAGTGTTGTAAGAAAGAAAGGAAGGAAGAAGGGAGGGAGGGAGGGGCAGAGGGAAGGAGGGAAGGAAGGAGGGAGGGAAGAAAGGAAGGAAGGAAGGAAAGAAGGAAGGAAGAAAGGAAGGAAGGAAGGAAGGAAGGAAGGAAGGAAGGAAGGAAGGAAAGGGGTGGAGTGAGCATCACACTGTTAAAAAAGAAAAAAAAAAAAAGATGTGAAGAGCTTTTGGGGCCACTTCTAGAAACTTGGCAAGAATTTGACATTGGGCCAGGACTTGGAAATAGACCTCAGGCAGGAATTTGACTTTGGCTAGAACTCGGAAGTATGCTCAAGATGAATACATCTGAAGAATGAGTTCTCTGTCTCTTGATGGGTATTGTTAAGACCCTGAATACAGTAATCACATGACCTTCCAGTCTGTTGCTTTGTTTGTTCCTTAATTACTTTGTCTATGCCTTAGGACTGACCATATTCTTTGTACGTACCTAGAAAGATATAAACCTGCTTCAGCCTCAGCCCTGGCTGGAGTCATGTTATAGTTTCGTCTAATTGTCTTTTTCTTTTTGATCCTCACTCCTTCCCTGGAGAACCCGTTGACTGACTGAGCTGGTCTGGTTAGAAAGAACAGAACAAGGTGGGGTTAACACCAGGTCACTACATCACCAACAGGAGGATTCTCTTCTTCTCCCCTCTTTCAAACAAACAAACATACAGTTTGAAAGAAATTGTTTTTTTGTTTTTCTTTTTTTAAAGTTCACATATTATTTATAAAGCATTCATACAAAATGGTCTTTTTTTTTGGTTTTTTGAGACAGGGTTTCTCTTTATAGCCCTGGCTGTCCTGGAACTCACTCTGTAGACCAGGCTGGCTTCGAACTCAGAAATCCGCCTGCCTCTGCCTCCCAAGTGCTGGGATTAAAGGCGTCCGCCACCACCGCCCGGCAACATGGTCATTTTTTAAAGCTGCAAATATAGGCAGTGTATAGAGTAAGTCTGGAACCACGTACCCTGTAATGGCCATGGCCTCTTGTTTCTGCTCTTCCCAAACAGATGAGAAGATGCTAACTCCATCATTGGTGAACAAAACTGATACTAAATATTCCAATGATTTTTTTTTTATTAAATACTAAGTGGTACGTGAAAGCAGACAGGGAGGAGGGAGGAAAACAGCAAGGGGGAGGAGGGCACAGGCCTGTATCACAGGAAGGAATATGATAGGGAGAAGGCAACTGACACTATAATAATGCCTTATGATGAAAATGGCTTACGTTCACATGATGTTGTTAAAAATTAATTTAAAAAGAAGTAAGCAGTATTTGCAATTGGCCTAATACTCTATTACCCACACTGACTTACGTAAAAAAAAAATAAAAAATTTTTATTTACATGTTTAAGAGCCTCATTTTTTTTCTCTTGACTTATAGACATACAAAACTACAACAGAGTAATAAAGAAACCAAAAATCCCAATAAACCAATAGGCAAATCCATCATAAACCGACCAAAAAGAGGTTCAAAACACTGCTGTTGGTTTTTCTTTGCCGACATTACTATGGTACTCTGGCAAGCAGAAGCAGGACTCAGATCCATGGTACTGTGTATACAGCCATCACTGAGGTTTGTAGAGTGTCCCCCTCATATCTGAGCTCCCTGCGTCACTGAAGCTAAGGGACCTGCACATGGAACAAGATCCCCAGTAGCTCTAATGAAACGGTGCGAGAATGTAACCGCTGGCCATTTGGATCCTATTGTCCAGCAAGCTCACTGTTAACCGGTTAGAATGCTGGCCAGGAACCTCATTCGCAGACCCATCCTCCAAGTCTGTAGAGTCAACCAACTGGACTGAAGCTCTCAGGGCCTCAGGTCCGGACAAAGCTGTGACCGACTCCAGATGAAAAGGAAAGCATTTCAGGGAGTCTTAGCCTTCTTGCCAGGTGTAATTTTTTTTTTTTTTTTGTAAGTCACTGAATTTCCGTCTTCACTTTGACAAAACATGTTCCCCTCAGTTCGTTCAGTTTCTGATACTGATGTCCGTTTTCATTATAGTGGAAGACTGTTCTCATACAAACAAGGAGGCTTCTGGCAACGCTGGGGAGAGCGGCATGCTTGTGATTGGTGCAGAGGCTGGCAGCTTGGATAGGAAATGACTGCTCCATGCATGTTGGGGCATCCGTACCCCACACGCCCACACACACACACCCACAGACACACACGCTCATCATCACCATCAAGCAGGCTTGATATCCTCAGGTACAGCTCAATAGGAGGTTTTAACACTGGTTGAGCTTGAAGAGTAAGAGCCGGATTTCCTGGAGAACTTGTTGGAGGTGAGCGATATCTGCATGCGGTTCACGGTGCGGACACTTCGGCAGAGGAGCGCGTTCCTGGCGTGATCCCTGAAATCTTGCGAGACAAAGTAATAGACAAAGGGGTCTATGCAGCTGTTGAGGGTCGACAGGCAGAGGGCGACGAGGTAGAGGGCGTAGACGTGGCTCTGCCTCTGGCTCTTGATTAGGAAGTAATGCACGACGAGCAGAAGGTTGCTGGGCGTGAAGCAGACGAAGTACATGACGAGCACGGTGATGATGAGCCTGATAGCCCTCCGCCTTTTCTTCTCCGAGTGCTCATCCATGGCAGAGGAACGCAGTGTCTTGATCATGAGCACATAGGCAGACGCAGTAAGTACGGCCGGAAACAGGAAGACTCCAATGGCCAGGGAGAGGAAGTAATTGAACATGTCCCCCACCAATACCTCCTCAGGCAGCACATCGTGACAGGTGGTGATGTTCAAGGCTGGAATGTGGATAGTCTGCTTCATGACATACAAAGGGATGGTGACCAGAAAAATCAGGATCCAGATAGCCAGGGAGACGCCGACAGCGATGTTTGCCTTCTTCCTGGGATGTCCCATGGGGTTCACTATCACCCAGTACCTCTGTACGCTGAGGCAGGTCATGAAAAGGATGGAGCAGTACATGTTGCCATAGAAAAAGCCAATAAGCACCTTGCAAAGTGCCTCCCCGTAGATCCAGTTGTTGCCATGGAGGTGGTAGGCGATCTTCAGGGGGAACCAGATGACAGAGAGGAGGTCTGCCAAGGCCAGGTTGGCCATGTAAATCACAGCAGGGTGTTTCTTCTTTGTTCGGAAAAGGAAGATCCAGAGGGCCATGCCATTACTGGGCAAACCAATCACAAATACAATAATGTAGATGATCGGAAGAAAGACAGTGGTCAGCTTCCCAGTGAGGATGGACGCAGAGAATTCATCAATGGAGAAGCCTGGTTCTACTGAGACTCCTTTCCCAGTGATTGGAGGCGGGGTTTCCAATCTGCCAATGAGACTTCTTCCTTTACTGTTGGGTCCTGTACAAAGAAGGCAGAGCAGAGTCATTGCTGAGATAAATGGTCCAACAATAGGACTGCTGTGCTTACATGAACTCTTCAGATGAGCAGACAGATGCTATCAGAGCATTATGGAGAATATTAATATTTTCTTTGAGTGATGGTACTGGGCAGGGCGGTTGGTAGCGGTTGAAGTGTAATTCTTGTGTGTGTTGGGCAAGTATTTTACCACTGGGCTACATCCTCAGCCCCAGCAATGGTATTTTGTTTTGGATTCCATATAGGATAGTGACTTCTGGGAATCTTTTTTTTTTTTTTTTTTTTTTTTTTTTGGTTTGGTTTTTCGAGACAGGGTTTCTCTGTGTAGCCCTGGCTATCCTGGAACTCACTCTGTAGACCAGGCTAGCCTCAAACTCTCGAACTCAGAAATCCGCCTGACTCTGCATCCCAAGTGCTGGGATCAAAGGCGTGTGCCACCACCGCCCTGCGACTTCTGGGACTCTTAAGACTGACAGGATTTCATTTTATTTTCTTTAAATAGCTACAGTCATTAGTTCTTTTATTTAATCACACAACTATCTGCAGTCTTTGATGAATGAGCCAGTTAGTAAAGACAGATGATGATAGATAGATAGATAGATAGATAGATAGATAGATAGATAGATAATAGATAGATAGATAGATGGATCAGTCTAGAATCGTGTGGTAACTCTTCCTGAGTCTCTAGTAAGACAGCCTTGTCTTGCCATCCGCTGTCTCTGTGCTCATTTTCCAGTGTATATCTATTCTACTCTGACCTTAAGCCAAGATCCAGCCTAGCTGTCAACCGCGCCCTGTCCCAGGGGCCAGCCTAGGAAGATTCCAGAACTAGGGGGCATCCCCTTATCCACCCACGAGAAATACTATAATGGGTAGGCATTTCCTACCTCTCTGCTGCTTCATAAGCATCTTCCCACAGAGCTCAGTCGGCAGGCAAGTCTTTCAGCATAGAGACCATGGTGCTGATGACACCAAATGCACTCTGACTTTCGAGCATGCAGCAGCAAGCTTTAACTTGGGGTGCCTCCTTCATGCTATGAATTGAACATTCAAAACCTCAGATAGCCCTGGGTGTGGTAGAACAGGCCTACAGTTTCAGCTGTTTAGAAAGCTGAGGTGAATGGATTGTGTTAGCTTAAGGAGTCTGAGACCAGCCTGGGTGACACAGTGAGATTCCATCAAAAGCAAAGCGAAACAGAACAGACCTACCAACCAGTGACTGGCAAGCCCATGCTTCACCCTGCCCCATCCTGCATTCCCTCATAGACCTGAAGGAGGAAGGGAGGATACTAAAGAGTTTTACTTTGATGATGAGCCTGAGGCCTCTACCAACCGGAAACACCTGAACATTGTTCGAGTACCAAGGAAGACAGTATACTTCTCCTGACTTTTCTTAACTTACTGTGTGCTCAGTTATCTGATTTGCTTCTGGCTCCAGATTCAGGCTCTACAGGACTGCTCGCCTCTGGAGGTTTCGCCACGTAGAGCTGTTGGTGCAGGAGGAGTGGGAGGAGCACTGGAGGTTACAGACACCAGCAGTTCACTTTCCTCCCACTGTAGAAAAATGAAGGTGTCCCCTACCCAATAAAGAAGGTGTTCACGTCCTAATCCCCAGTAGACAAAGGTCTCAGAAACCCTAACACACAGTCATAAGAAAACTATCCTGGTTACCCACTCAGGCCCTCAACCAATGATAGTGATCTTTTAAGAAGTCAGAGGGAAGTTGAGGACAGAAAAGGAGAAAACAGCAGAGAAAGAACGTGAGGGACAATGGAAACAAAGACTAGAATATTGTTCAGGAACAAGCCAAGGGACACCAAAGATGGCAGCACCCACCTGGATGCTGGAGATGGACAGATTCTCTCTCCCCCATCACTTTCATTCCAGGCCCCCTCACCTCAGAACCAAGAGAGTAATATCTGTTGTTTTAAAGCACTGCTCATCACGGTGGCCTTAAGAAAATAACGAATTTAACGTAAATATGTCTATTGTTTCCATTTCTTCTATAACTGTCCAAAAGAACACTTTTTAAAAATTAAAATAGGGGCAGGGGTTGGAGAGATGGCTCAGTGGTTAAGAGCTGGCTCTTTCAGAGGTTCTGAGTTCAATTCCCAGCAACCACATGGTGGCTCACGACCATCTATATTGAGTTCTGATGCCCTCTTCTGTCATGCAGGTGTACATGCAGATAGAATACTCATAAAATAGATAAATCATTAAAAAATAAAAATAAAAACAAAGCCAGGTGTAGTGGCATATGCCTTTAAGATGAGACTCTGGAGGCAGGGGCAGGTAGACCTCTATGATTTTGAAGCCAGCTTAGTCTACACAGAATTCCAGGCCAGCCAGGGCTATATAGAGATCCTGTCTCTAACTAACTAGTTAATTAATTAAAATTAAAATGAATATTCCTAAGGAGGCGGGAATGTAGCTCAATTGGTAGAGTGTTTGCCCATTGTGTCCCAGCTACTGTAACCCCAGGACTCAGGAGGCAGAGGCAGGAGAATCGTAAACCCAAGGGCATCCTCAGCTTCATAGTGAGTTTGAGGCCAGCCTAGGATATCTGTTTCATGAAAGAGTATTCCTGAATATTACAATGTTCTTCAGATACTGAGTTAGATAGCTCCATGAAGAATATGTTCTTCATGGAAACCCAGTACTCAGTACATAGATCCATAATAGAATACTGTTTCACAAAATACCCTTCTTCACAGAATGCATGTTGATTCCTTGGAGTGTTTTCTCAAGCCACAGACAAGAGGGACTAAGTTTGAAGCATCTCAAGGAAACAGTAACAATGTGTTTACAGATTCAATAGTCGCAAGGAATGTAGCATAACGCCACAATTCCTTTAGTGCCCCAGCCCCTGGCCCAGCCCAAACCTCTGGATTACAGTGCTCAGCTACCCACATCTATGGAACAACTGAGGGGGGTCCAGAACACTGAGTGCTGAAGGCCACACATAGAACCACAGTGAAGTACAGGACCGTGGCTGCCATCACAGAGATTAGCCCTGATTCACTGTGGGTCTGGTACTACTGTCTGCAGTGTGTGCAGGGCACCGGTATCACATTCACCACACACCAGACAAGGCAGCTAATGTCATTGTGCCTTATTTTATAGATGAAGACACTAAGGCACAAATCAGTAACTGCGTACACGTCCCGCAGTTAAACAGTTGTTATGTGGGAAGATTCGGCTTTAGCCTTAGTTCATTACCAGAAGCCATGGTTTTTCTCGAGATCCCCCACCACACCTAACTGAAACTACACATTAGAACCCACAGAGATCAGCCCACTCTGCGTGGACTCTACACACACATTTTCTCAAGCAGAATATCTAAAAGTTTAAATTTAACACACTAAAAAGTCACTTTCTTTAACTAGCCCCTTCTTCAATAATTTACATAGTTACCTGTATTAATGTCAACATGTTCTGCCAGCCCTTTAGAGGGATAAACAAAAGCCTTGTAAATCCTCCACAGCTGCCCAGAGGGTGGTGTACAGCACAGTTGGACCCCGTGAGCAGTGGGTCAGTGCTCTGGGGACCCCACTCATCCACAAAGGCATCCAGGCCTGAAACAGCCCACTTGGTGTATTGGTGGCTAATTTTCTGTTACTATGATAAAACATTATGAGCAAGGCAATTTTCAGAAGGAAAATGTTATGTTCTGGAGCGCTAAGAGTGTGTCAGGGTGGGGAGACACGGCCACAAGCTGCAGGCATGGGAGCAGGGGCTGGGAGATGGGAACTCACACCTTCAAACAAGCAGGAAGCAGAGGGGGAAAATCAAAAGTGGGGAGACAGTTAACTTCAAAGCCTGCCCCATGGGACTTGCTTTGCCAACAAGATCACACCTCCCCAGACGGGTCCACTCACTGGGGAACTGGTATTCAAATATCCGAGTGCCAGTGAGTAACCCTGAACTGTGGGCAGTAGCTGAGATTTTAGAGTTCTCGCAATGTCAATCCATTTTCTTCTGTTCCCAAAGAAAGTTACATAATGTTCTCTATAAAGGAAGGGCTCTAAGCTTATATACTGCCCTTTTATAGCCACAAAGGTCACAGTAGGAGGTGATTAGACACTCTGAAGAACTCCTGCTGGGATGGACTCTGACCTCATCCTGATCAGAGTACATCTGGGCAGATGTAACAAGTAGAGAAAGTGAGCACAGCTAGGGGCAGGTAAGATGCCTCGTGGGTAAAGGTGCTTGGTGCCAAGCTGGCACACCTGACTCTGAACCCCAGAATGCACACACACACACACACACACACACACACACACACACGGAGAGGGTAATTTAAAAAGTGGTTTATACATAGCATACATATTCCTCACAGTTGTGGTGGACAGAAATCAGTGGGGGGAGGGGGGAGCCCCAGCATGGTTAGGGTCTGGTGAGATCCCTCTCCCAGCTCTGCCTTCATCCTCACAAGCCTTAGGTTTCTCGTTTTTTAGGATTCAGCACATAACTAAGGAGAAAGAGTTTCCTTTGGCTTACAAGGGTGGTAGACACAGATGCCAGTGCTCAGCTTGCAGTTTCCTTTTATGCAGGCCGGAACTCCAGCCCATGGAACGGTGCCCCATCCACACTCAGAATAGTCTTCTCTCCTCAGTTAAAGCTGTTCTGGCCGGGCAGTGGTGGCGCACACCTTTAATCCTAGCACTTGAGAGGCAGAGAAAAGTGAATCCCTGAGTTCGAGGCTAGCCTGATCTACAGAGTGAGCTCTAGGACAGCCAAAGCTATACGGAGAAACCCTGTCTGGAAAAACAAAAGAACAGAACATAAAAAAAAAAAGCCATTCTGAAAATACTTCTTGGATACAGCCACAGGTATGTTTTTGTGATGATTCCAGTCCCGTCAAATTGACAGCTAAGATCAACCACAATACTCAAGAAAAAGGAAAACATATAAAACAACCTGTCCATTAGCACTCAAAGCAGCATTATTCCTAATAGCCCTAGATGGAAACAACCCAAAATCCATCAACAGAAGAAGACATAAACAAAAGGAGAAGTGCCCACAATGGAATGGCACCTAGCCATGTAAAGAAAGATGAAGTGTTGAAGCCAGACACCGCAGTGCATGCTTGTCCCGGCATGGCAAGCTGAGTCGTGGGGATTGCTTAAGCCTAGGAATTTGATAGCAGCCTGCCCAGCAGAGTTAGAACTTATCCCAAAGACAAACAGACTGGGTTATAGTTCAGCTGCTGCATGCCTGAAGGGCTTCTACCAGAAGCCCCGAGTCTGATCTCTAGCACCCCATAAAACTGGGTATGTTAAGCCTGCACTAATCACAGCACTCCATGAGGATGGAAACTTCAATGTCACCACCCTTCACTACTTGGCTAACTTCAGTATAAATTCAAGGCCATCTGGAGCCAAATGAGTCTCAGAGACTCAAACAAACACACAAACAAAGCAATCAAACACACTGGGCATGATAGTGATAGCAAACGTCCATAATCTGTGTTCAAAGAAGAAAAAAGAAAAAGAAGGAAAGTAAAAAAATAGGTTGATGATGCATGCTGTAGCATGGGTAAGCCTTGAAAAAGAAATTAAATAAGAAGCCAGTCACAGAGGCCCATACATTATGTGAATTTATACATACCAAATATCTAGAACAGGCAAGTCGAAAGATAGAAAGTTGACTATTGGTGGCCAGGGCTGGCTACGGGAAGACTGTCATACAACAGCAAAGGTGACTCCTATGGGTAATCAAAATGTGCTCAAATTGAAGGTCACAATTCTTTAAGTATACCAAAAGGCTCTTCAAATGGGCTAATTGTGCATTGTGAAAATTATTTGACATGGAGACTCTAACAAAGCTATTAAAAGTACCCCAGAGAGAGATGAGGTGAGAGGGGAGAGATGAGACACATGTAGCCAAGGATTCCTAATCACTGCCGTTGTGGTGGGTACCAAAACAACATGAAATGAGAATGTTAAAATAAAGAGAAAAGAGGAACAAGGAACAACATTATAACAAAAGAAGTATGGCTTGGGTTGAAAGTAAGCACAACTTTAAAAAAGGAAGAGAAAGAGAGACTAGGAGGAGGAGGCATCGTCCTTAGATTCCCCAAACCCCACCCAGATATACCACTATCAGGGCTGGGGACTCGCCTAGACGGTCAAGTGTTTGTTCAGCATGGACAAGGCTTGGTTTCCAGGCTGCCTCCCCAAACCCCATACACAAAACAGAGGTGGGAATCGCAGCTTTAAACAATAAGAGTCTGAGACAGGAAGGAGATCATGAGTTCCAGGCAAGATCTTGAATGCAAAAAGAAAACAACAAACAAAACAAAAACAAAACGGTAACAGCTGTTCACATTAAACCATGCTGTGACCCTTTCTATCCTTTCTGTATTGCATACCAAACTGCTGGTATCCCTGATGTTAGCTGTCAAACAGGCACAGTGTTTCAAAACTGAACAGAGACTATGGGTGACTATGAAGTGGGGACACACGTAGAGTACCTGGCTCTGAGCACATCTTATTTCTAGGGCTACAATCAACAGTTCCTGCCAAGCACACAAAAACATACACCCACTCTTGCTCAAGGCAACATCCAGCCCCCACGACTGCCAAACAGGAAACAGGCCTGTGTATCAGCCTGGTTCCTAAGTTACTATACCCCTAGTCCTGAGAGTAGACACTCACCTACCTCTCTGTAGAGAGAAATATACAGTCAACTAAACAAGGAACTAATAAAATAATATGCTCTCATCTGCATAAGGCTCTAATGTACATTATTTTTAAAAACCCTTAAATCTGGGGCTGGAGAGATGGCTCAGCAGGTTAAGAGCACTGACTGCTCTTCCAGAGGTCCTGAGTTCAAATCCCAGCAACCACATGGTGGCTCACAACCATCCGTAATGAGATTGGATGCCCTCTTCTGGTGTGTCTGAAGACAGCTACAGTATATTCATAAATAAAGTAAATAAATAAATCTTTAAAAAAAAAAAAAAAAAACCCTTAAATCTAAGATCCTCTCACCAAGGTATAAAAATTGTGATTCCTTGAAGCAGAACAACGGGAGAGGAGTAAACCTTACTCTTTCTGTCTTAGGTTTTTCGGCCACCCAGAGTGCAAGCTGATACGATCTTTTTAAAAGTCATTTGGCAAACATATCAAAAGTTAAAATGTACTAGTTTGTGACCTGCGATTTACTTGCAGGAATCTGTCTCACACTTGACCCCGTTGTGGAGAACATTCATTGAACTGTTGTTTAACCGTAGTACAAAATAATAATTTCTGTATCAAAAAGGGACTACGTCAGTAGTTTATAAGAGCTATAACACCCTACAAAACATGGACAAAAGTTTGTCTTCTGTGTATAGATTTATTATCGAAATGCAAATAAAGCATAGAACAGCTGTTGCAGGATGGCCCTTCTGTGACTTAAAGGACACCAGATGGGCATGGACTTGGTCTCAATGCTTTGGCTTTTCCCAGTTCTTTTGCTACCAACTCTTGGGAGCACAGGTTGGAAAAAAAAAAAAAAGACTTCAGCTGTTATTCATCCTAGGTACACTTTTAGCAAACTTTGTAAACTTTTTTTTCCCAAGAGGAATTGTTTTCCTCAACATTTGTCTAGATAATAAAACCATAAGAAAATCAAATACAGATTTCATGAGGCCTGCGTGATCAAGGTTAATTAGTAACAGGAGGAAGGCAAAGGGGACCAAGCCCAACCTCAAGTTTCATCTCCACACTCATTAGAGTTAACACTACAAGACTTCGGAAACATCCTGTGTGCCTGTTCACAAAACACTGATTTAAAGAGATGAAGCCTGGCTTTCGGGTGCTGGTCTATAATCATAGCTATTCAGGATGAGGAAGTAGAACCTCAGGTTCAAGGCCTGCCTGGGTTACCTAGTGGATTCAAGGAAAGTTTGGGCAATTTAAGGAGACTTTACCTCAAAATAAAATATAAAACTAGGGTTGAGGCTCTAGCTCAGTGACAAAGTGGTTGATTAATACACAGGAGGTCCTAGGTTTAGTACCTTATACCTGGGACCCACGCGGCATGTGTGTGTGTGCATGTATATACACCTATTATTTTAAAGCTGTTAAAATTGTGTTATTGACCTTTACATGTTAAAATTCCATACTTGTACAAGGCTTTCTAACCTGAGAATGTGTATTTTATGTATTTCTCATGTACAAAAACATGGGAAAGATATAAAACAAAATGTTAGTAGTGGTTAAGTAACACTGTTTAGGATGATTTCATTAAATTTCTTCTTTTTTTTTTTCCTCTACAGTGACCACATATTACTTTTATAATTAAAAAAAGAAAGAAAAAGAAAGAAAATGTTGTCGGGAGCTGCATAGCTCGGTACTGGCTGCTCTCCCGAAGGATCTGGGTTCAGTTCCCAGTACCCACATGGGAGCTCACAATTGTCTGTAACGGTTCTAGGGAATCCGACACCCTCAGGCAGACATGAATGTAGGCAAAAAAAAAAAAAAAAAAAAAAAAAAAAAAAAAAAAAACCACACCAGTGCACATAATTTTTTAAATTAAATTTTAAAATGTCTAGGCATGATGGTGCGTTCCTGTAATCCCATCATTCAGGAGACAGAATTGTTCTAAGTTCAAGGCCAGTGGTCAACAGAGAAAATTCCAGGCCAACCACGGATACACAGGAATACTGTTTTAAAGGAAGAAAAAGAAGAAAAGAGTACACCAAACAAGGACCAGAGAAGATGCAGTCTTAAAACTGAAATGGACTGACTGTGTGACTAGGGAAATAGCAACGGTCCAGCACTTGCCCAGCCTGGGCAAAGCCCTGGATTGGATGCCTATCATGGCAAGAAATCAAGAAACAAATAAATATGGAGATGGAAGAAGGGGAGAGGGAGATAGTGATAGTGATTGTGTGGGACAGAAGCCGACTTAAATGCCACATTCGCAATTCAGCGCCCCTCCCCCCACCTGCAAAAATGAGGTTTGTCTTAGGTTGGGACCCTTTCCGAAAAGCAGTCTTTTGGGGGCGGAGAAAACCAAGCCCAATCTGCTGTTTAACAAGTCAAGGAGCACACAGAAAGACCAGACCTGAGCGGCGTGAGCAAGACGTCAAGGTGCCCCGTGTCCTAACCAAAATTAATTTAATTTCAATTGGGAAAAGACCTTCCTGTATGTAAAGTCTCTGTTACTTTACTAACTCTTTAGGAAAGTTACCGGCAATGGCGCATAATTATGCAGAGAGAAAAACCAAGGTGGGATATTCGGGTTAACAAGTAACCTGGTTCTTTTTTATTGTTAAAATCAAGCTCACCTTGTAAGCAAGGAACCTTTCCCTCCCAATCTCCTCACTCTGTAAACAGAGGAAGCCGAATAATCAGGGTATGCTTCCTATACTAGGTGAATCATCAAAGTAATCACTTCCAATCACTTTTTTTTTAAGTCTGTACACACTAACCTTTGCTCCTGCATTTCTAAATTTCTAACTTTAAATGATAGGCAAACGGAGTGGGGTTAGGCGCTCTTCTACAACTTAAGGATAAAGTAAAGGTGAAAAAAAGGCCTTCAAGACTCCCGCAAGTTTAGTTGGGAAATGGAAAGGCCAGACGGAATTTTGCATCACAGAAGAGCAATTGCTGGCAGTAAATACCCCCACCCCACCCTACAGCCTGCAGAGGTCTCCCAGGCTTCTAGAAGCGCCAGTTCGAGCTCACCTGGTGCTCCAGCACCAGCCCAAACCGGCGGCCAGCCACTGAAGCACCGCCCCGAACCGCTTTCTTGCAGTTCTGTTCTTTGGGCTTGGCAGCCTCAGAGGCAGAGCTGGGTGGCTGCCAGTGTGCGCTCCGGGAGGCGGGAAGGTCTCGAAATCTCTAGGCTAGAACGTCGCCTGGTCTAAAGGTAAGGGTCAGAAAGGTCCCCTTCTACCACCATGTGACATCCAAACCGCCTGAGTTCCTGGCCAACGCACCCACTGCGGTAGCCCCGAGTGGGTCTAGAACACTGTGGTTCAACTCCCCAAAGGAAGGGTTCAGTGGGTGAGTGTGACTGCAAAACGCGAGGTGGGAACTCCTCAGGGCTCAGGCTCCCACTCCACCCAGCCGTGAGCCATCAAATTGCTATAACCCAGGGGTCTAGTAGGACCCGGCCGGACGTAGTTCACGGGGTCCGCGAAAAGCAATTAATGAGTCAGTGCTTGCAAAGGAAGGACCGAAGGGAAGGGAGGCTGAGTCCTGCCTGCGCTCCTTCCTTATCTCCCCGAATCACGACGAGTAGAGTTTTCAAGTGCCCAGACCAGGATGGTCTCTAGCACGTCTTTGGGGACACTTCTCGGATGTCCCGGCTGACTGGCCCTGGTTAGGGACACCCATGAAAGCTACCGAGAAAGCCCAGAGATGCGGGGGGGATGTGCGCGCCTGTCCCCATTCCCCCACCAGCCCAGCGCCTTCCTCCGCCGCTCGAGCTCACCCCGTGCAAAGTTCTCGGTTCGGTTGCAGGAGACCGAGGCCGCCAGAAGGGTGATACCTCCCAGCAGCCACACCAGGCTGAGACTTCGCATCCCCGGACGTGAGGCGGGCGGGGAATCCGCCACCGGTGGTTCGAAACTCGGAGCCCCACTCGGAGCACCCAGTTCCCTTCCCTTCACACGAGCCTCACTGAGCCTTCCTGGGGCGGGACCCGTTTCAGTGAAACCGGAGCCCCTGGACGCACCTGCGGGAGGCCACGCCCCCGGGAGGCCACGGCCCAACCACGCCCCCTTCGAACGTTTTACGTAGGCCCCACCCCGGGCCACCTGGCTCAGCACAGCCTGCCCGTAGCTCCGGTGTGCTGGCCAGCGTCCACTCGGCTGCTAGAGTCGCCTGCGGGTGGGGCTGGATGGGTGAGGTGGCTACATTGGAATGCAAATGACAGGAAGGTTGAGACCTAGGGTTCTTAGAGCCTGGGCGATGTCCAAAACTATCTTTAACCTTTAATTACTTCAGAGAACCAGTGAGGTCATCCTCTTGTGAATATTAGAAAGTCTAAGCCTTTGTCTTCAGTAATTGGTGTGGAAGGCTTTGTGGTGTAATGGACGGACATGAAAGGGGTTTTTGTTGGTTGTTGTTTTGTTGATTGTTCGCCTTTTGGCGAAAGCTTTCTTCCTCCCCTACCCACCTGACTTCAAACTTGTGGCAATTCTCCAGCCTCAACCTCCTCTAAGTGTTGGGGTGACAGGATTGTGCCACCGGCACAGCTGGTGAGGGTTTGGTCAAGTAGAGGCAAGGCAGACTTCTGTGAACACCATCAAAGGGGGTAGGAAGGACTCAGCGTTTTGGAATTAGGTTTTAAGCTCATCTGTTTGCCCAGTGTCGTTAAACAAACCTGGATGTGTGGAAAGCACTAACCACCAATGGTTCAGTACTCTTAGCTTGTCTAATGCCCCCAGTGCCGAATGTGCCAACTCCATCTGTCTTCCCATTTTACAGAATAGAAGATGGAACTTAGAATATGTAAATGTCCCTCACATCCAAGCTCAGATCTGTGACTGAAATTTGTCCACAACTTGTTGCTCTATACCTGATTCCACTCAGGTATATACTATATATATATAAAGAAATATATAAGCATGGGTTGGGGTGTGAGCTCAGTAGTAGAGCGTGTGCTTAGCATGTCCAAGGACCAGAGACAGAGACAGAGACAGAGGCAGGAGCGGAAAAAGTTGGAGGTCAATTGGACTACATAATGAAACCCTATCTTAAAAAGAAATTAAAACAGTGTTTACAGTTGTTCAATAAAACTGTGATTTAAATTACAGAAAAGATCGGAAGGATTCATAAGCAGAAAAGGCTCAGATAGAGCCCAGAAGCAGGTGTCTCCACTGGGAGGAGGACTTGAATGTAGAAAGAGCTGGCTGCAGTCCTGGGCAGCTCTCTGAGATGACCACAGAGTTAGCAGAAAGACCAGAGTTAGCCATTTCTCCCGAGTTTGAGGACATCCAGCTGGCATGTTGCAGAGGGGTTCCACTCCAGAAGGAAGGGTCAGATTGACTCATCCTCCAGGAGCCTTCAGCGAGGCAGTCACTAAAGACAGTTATTAATATCTGCACAGCCTTGAGCCAAATGCCACCACCATAGTCCGGTGGCTCAAGCGTGTACTAGTCCTGTAAGTGTGCAGAATGCTGTTTCCATCTGATGAAAGGTCTGAGTCACACTTCAACATACGTAGTCTTCTGCCTCTTCATTCGCCCCCACAGGGGCTCACACACACTAGAAATCAAAGGAAGAGGAGCAAATGGCCCTGAATAGACCATGAAAATAGGATGCTGCCTTTCTGGATGACAGAAATGGACAGGTAAACATTTCCCAACACACACACACACACACACACACACACACACACACACACACACACACACAGAGGACTGGTCAGAGAAAGCAGCCCAAGGGCTGAGACAATTCCCTTTAATGGAGCATGTCTGTGGGGTCTCGGCTGAGTCTCTTAAGCTCTTCTGGGACTGTGAGTGAAACTTGGCTTCACTGGTGTAGACCTTGGGTGGGGTCTGGCTTCTCTCCCTCTCTGCACCTCTAGGATCTTGGATAAACTATTCACTCTATGTTTTGATTCCTCACTTTCAAAAATGGGATTAGCATTTTGTCTGTTTAAAGACACCTAGGAATAAAACAGTGGTTCTGATGTGAAGTAGAACAAAAATGTCTTTCTCTTTCCTTTCTCTCAGGAGTATCTGCCCCACCCCCTGTACCACAGCTTTCAGGGTGTGGCTCCAGGACCCACCCTTCAGAAAATTGACTTCTAAAAGCAGCAGAGTGTAATCTAACCTAAACATTCCTTATATCAATAAATAGGTGAAAGTGGCCAGGCGGGGGTGGCATACCACTTTAGTCCCAGAATTTTGGAGGCAGAGGCTGTTGAGACCAGCCTGGTCTAGAGAGTGAGTTCTAGGACAGCCAGATCTACTCAAAAAAATGCTGGTAGCGGGGAGGGGGAGGGTAGGACCTGGTGAGAGTGAAGCCACGAGGCAGTATTTTAATGTGTTCTTTTTACATACGTTTATGTATTTATGTAGTGTGTGTGTGTGTGTGTGTGTACCTACATGCATACATACATGACTCTGCACAATTCTAAAGTAGCTAACTGTGACTCCAGGGACCACTGTGCAGCAGTGAGGTCCTCTGGGGTGCTTTTTCTAGGGTGGGGTCCAAGTCCCTTCTCTGGAGGGTTGATTCACTGATCCTGGGATGGAACACGGAAACTAACCTCTTTGTTCAAGAAAGCCCATGTCCTAGGTTGTCTGTTAACTGTCCTGATGTATGCTGTTGTCTCTGCACATTTGCAACACCCCTTCTCTGCCCTAAAACACCCCAGTGTGGACAATGCTGGACATACTTAACAGAGTCCCCTTCTGAAAAGGGCCAGGCCACTCCTGAAGAGAGATAACAATTCGCCTCTGATGTTCCTCCAGTCTTTCCTACCTTGTGTAATTACCACGATCGAATCTTCGATCTGGCCGTGATTACGGCTCCTGCCTCATGAAGTGCTTCTAAAGATCAGTCTGTTAAATGCCCATGCAGTGTTTGTGAGCACCATGCCTGGCACAGATGAGAGGACCGCTGTTTGGTGACTGCCTTCAGTGAGAAGTTCCTCTCTTCAGAGACCCACGTGTAGGCCTCCAGACGCTTCCAAGCTCCTCTGACACCGTATAGGAACTGAGTTTGAATCACCAAAATTTCCAAGAAATGGTTTTAGTGAACAATGCTATTAGTTAATAATCTCAAGAAGGTGATTTATTGGTCAGGGGATGTAGTTCAGGGGTAAAGAGCTCGCCTAGCATACTTGACACCACCAAATTAATTAATTAATTAATTAATTAATTAATATAATGGGGGAGGGGAGTTTTCAGACAGGGTTTCTCAGTGTAATGTTAGCTGTCCTGGAACTCACTCTGTAGATCAGGCTGGCCTCGAACTCACAGAGATCTGCCTGCCACTGTCTCCTGAGCAATCAAAGTGATCAAATGAAATATGCTCATAGAAGTCAGTTTGCAGGCGTTTTTCTCAAATCTTGTGGCTTTATTTTATTTATTTATTTATTTTTTGATCTGATGATTCATTTGCCTGAACTGCCTTGAGGTATTTTTTGTATGAATCTGTGAAACACTCAGGAATAGCTAACTGCTGACTGTCTGGGTGCCAGAGACAGGGGACTTCCTGTGTTTTTCCCACTCACTATAATTTGAAGAGGACATTTAGACTGTGAGATCAAAAGGCAGGGAAAGAAACAATTCTGCATTTTTTTTTCTTTTTTGTCAAAACCATGTGACTCTTCCTGGGACGATGAAGTCGCTGAACTTGTGGGACCTGGTCAGCTCTAGCTGGAGGAAGCGCTGCCCGGTTGATTCACCCAGCCATTGAGCAGACACTCTGGACAAGGCTAGCAGTAAACTTCTATGTGATAACTCCTACAGTCACTTTTCAAGCTCCCAATACCCACCAAACTGTAGAAATGATACAGTTGACCTCCCCAGCCCCTTCTGCCTTTGAGTCTCCTCACTGGCAGTTGGTCCTCTGTTGATGGGACCACACTGCTGGCCTCTCTACAGTGGAGTGACCCTGGGTTAATTCTTTCCAAAATGCATATTTGTTCATTGGTCAGTTGATCCACTCCTGTGGTTTGAAGTACTGTCTATATATTAACAACTCCACATTTTTTTTTCTACCCTAGATTTTTCCACGACAGACATAACATGATTATCTAGAGGATGGGGAGATGGCTCAGCAGTTAAGAACACTCACTGGCTGCTCTTCCAGAGGACCTGAGTTCAATTCCCAGCAACCACATGGTGGCTCACAATCATTTATAGAAGGAGCTGGTGCCCTCTTCTGGCAAGCAGGTATACACGCAGACAAAGCACACATAGATTAAAAAAATAGGATAAAATATTCACCTAGCATTTTCCTTTGAGTATGCCTACAGGCCTATGACATGTAAGCCTCACATTAGATGACTGAGGGACTTACCCAGCGCCTCACCTTTCTTTGTACCATCCTCTCGTCACTTCAGGTTACATCTCTTTCCCTCCAGTTCTTCAGATTAAAAAAGAAAAAAAAAAATCTTGCTTTGCTCCTGACTTCTTATGGTCCATATCTGATCTATCAGCAATTCCACTTGAAATCGTATCCCAAATCCCACCCTGGCTCAAGTGCTAGTTACCTTCTGCATATATTGTAATAGCCTATGACTGGACTCCTTCCTTTCATCTATCACCTTCTAACTGTCCCCCACCCCACTGCACCCCCACTCCCAGCCCTGGCCCCAGTCTTTCCTCTGCATAGCAGTTAGAGTAAATCTGTCAAAATGGCCACCAAAACAGTTCACTTCCTTGTAGAATTAAAGTGTACCACTTCCCTCTTTGTAAAACATGACATTTTCACAGGTATACTCCTGCTATCCCCTTCCTGATTTGCACACACACACACACACATACACACACACACACACACACACACACACACACACACACAATGTCTGGCTTTGCCTTCTATTATTTCTTTGCTCACCCGT